TTTGAGAAATATGCCCCAATGGTATCGAAAATGAGGGAATTGAACTGGCGGTATGTGGATATTCCTTTGGACGTGCACCTTGGTGAGGGCCAGGCTGACCAATAATAGGAATTCCTTCAGTAACGGGCGAATGCCGAACAGCGGCTGCACCCTGCAGTACTTCATATCTCGACTGGTAGCTTACTTGAGAAACTAAACTTTCAGTCAGAATCTCCTGCTACATGATGGTTAGAGGCCCCTGGAAACAATTTGTTTCTAATTATTGCCCTTACGGTATTGGCTGTGTAATATCTATCGTATGGTACTCCCAATTTACGGGCTATCTGCCAGCACGTTTGAAGTTTCAAGGAGTCCAGCTTTGACAATGTTAAATCTTCAAATAACTCTTTAATGTGATCTTCCATGATCAATATTTTGAAATTAACTAAAGATAAATTCCCAGTATATAACTTTAATATTGTTCTTTTGATCAATGTCTTAGAACAACAGAGATACCGGACAGGCCCCCATTTGTTGCGAATAAGAAATTTTTTTAAAGAACTTCAGAATGTGGTCTGTTACCATTTATTTCTTATGCAACAAGATTTTTGGATCCGAGTTATTTAAAGTTTTAGAGTCTAGGGGAAATAATTTCAACTGGGAAACTCCATAGAATAATATGGTAAATTTATTGTACAAAGTATTAAGTACATTAACTACAAAGAGAAGATAAAGTATTGTATTTAAATACTTTAATAAATTTGAATATTATTCTATGGAGTTTCCCAGTTGAAATTATTTTCCCTAGACTCTAAAACTTTAAATAACTCAGATCCAAAAATCTTGTTGCATAAGAAATAAATGGTAACAGGCCACATTCTGAAGTTCTTTAAAAAAAATTCTTATTCGCAACAACCTGGTATACTCAACAGATTTATTTCCTTATAATTCTTACACTCTCTCATTTATCCACATACACACATGCACACACATCGCCAGAAGCACACATTAACCAGATAACTGCTGCGGCATATGGGCGCCTGGCAAACCTGAGAATAGCGTTCCGGTACCTCAGTAAGGAATCGTTCAAGACTTTATACACTGTGTACGTCAGGCCCATACTGGAGTACACAGCACCAGTTTGGAACCCACACCTGGTCAAACATGTCAAGAAATTAGAGAAAGTTCAAAGGTTTGCAACAAGACTAGTCCCAGAGCTAAGGGGATGGTCCTATGAAGAAAGGTTAAGGGAAATCAGCCTGACGACACTGGAGGACAGGAGGGTCAGGGGACATGATAACAACGTATAAAATGCTGTGCGGAATAGACAAGGTGGACAGAGACAGGATGTTCCAGAGATGGGACACAGAAACAAGGGGTCACAATTGGAAGCTGAAGTGGAATAGTCTGGCAAGCGATGTAGTGGAAGCAGGAACTATACATAGTTTTAAGACGAAGTATGATGAAGCTCATGGAGCAGGGGGAGAGAGGACCTAGTAGCGCTCGGTGAAGAGGTGGGGCCAGGAGCCGAGTCTCAACCCCTGCAACCACAATTAGGTGAGTACAATTAGATGAGTACACATGCACACATATTCTTGGACTGCAAGAAGGCGTTTGACACAGTTCCACACAAGAGTTTAGTGCAAAAACTGGAGGACCAAGCAGGGATAACAGGGAAGGCACTACAGTGGATCAGGGAATACTTGTCAGGAAGACAGCAGCGAGTCATGGTACGTGGCAAGGTGTCAGAGTGGGCACCTGTGACCAGTGGGGTCCCACAGGGATCAGTCCTAGGACCAGTGCTGTTTCTGGTATTTGTGAACATGACGGAAGGAATAGACTCCGAGGTGTCCCTGTTTGCAGATGACGTGAAGTTGATGATAAGAATTCACTCGATCGAAGACCAGGCAGAACTACAAAGGGATCTGGACAGGCTGCAGACCTGGTCCAGCAATTGGCTCCTGGAGTTCAGTCCCACCAAGTGCAAAGATAAGATAAGATAAGATTTCGTTCGGATTTCTAACCCCGGAGGGTTAGCCACCCAGGATAACCCAAGAAAGTCAGTGCGTCATCGAGGACTGTCTGTCTTATTTCCATTGGGGTCCTTAATCTTGTCCCCCAGGATGCGACCCACACCAGTCGACTAACACCCAGGTACCTATTTACTGCTAGGTGAACAGGACAACAGGTGTAAGGAAACGTGTCGAAATGTTTCCACCCGCCGGGAATCGAACCCGGGCCCTCCGTGTGTGAAGCAGGAGCTTAAGCCACCAGGCCACCGGGCCAAAGTCATGAAGATTGGGGAAGGGCAAACAAGACTGCAGATGGAGTACAGTCTAGGGGGCCAGAGACTACAAACCTCACTAAAGGAAAAAGATCTTGGGGTGAGTAAAACACCAGGCACATCTCCTGAAGCGCACATCAACCAAATAACGGCTGCAGCATATGGGCGCCTAGCAAACCTCAGAACAGCATTCCGACACCTTAATAAGGAATCGTTCAGGACCCTGTACACCGTGTATGTTAGGCCCATATTGGAGTGTGCGGCACCAGTTTGGAACCCACACCTAGCCAAGCACGTAAAGAAACTAGAGAAAGTGCAAAGGTTTGCAACAAGACTAGTCCCAGAGCTAAGAGGTATGTCCTACGAGGAGAGGTTAAGGGAAATCAACCTGACGACACTGGAGGACAGGAGAGAGAGGGGGGGACATGATAACAACATACAAAATACTGAGAGGAATTGACAAGGTGGACAAAGACAGGATGTTCCAGAGATTGGACACAGTAACAAGGGGACACAGTTGGAAGTTGAAGACACAGATGAATCACAGGGATGTTAGGAAGTATTTCTTCAGCCACAGAGTAGTCAGTAAGTGGAATAGTTTGGGAAGCAATGTAGTGGAGGCAGGATCCATACATAGCTTTAAGCAGAGGCATGATAAAGCTCACGGTTCAGGGAGAGTGACCTATTAGCGACCGGTGAAGAGGCGGGGCCAGGAGCTCGGACTTGACCCCTGCAACTTCAACTAGGTGAGTACACACACACACACACACACACACACACACACACACCCCAGGACCCCAATGGAAATAAGTCACTCTGACTTTTTTGGGTATTCCTGGGTTCTCTACACATACGCTGCTATGTATGATAATCTATGTAACTGTATTTGTGTATACCTGAATAAACTTACTTAGACACTCACACTCTCTCTGCCAATCCCTAGGTACCCTTGCCCTCTTCCATACAATTGTTGAATAAATGCACTAACCACTCCATAACTATATCCCCACCTACTTTTAACTGCTTTACCCTTTTTCAATCAACCTACTGCCTCATGCACCTTTCTCATATTCACATCTGGCTCTTCCTCACTCTTAAAAGATGTTATACCTCCCTTCCCAGTGCATGAAATCACTGCCTCCCTCACTTCATCAACATCTAACAGCTTAGAACATTACCTCTATCTTCCCATTACCTCTACTCCCTTTATAATAACCCCCCATCCTTTCCCTTTTAACTGTTAAATCTATTGTTATAATGTGTAAATGTACTCTGTGTTATGAAGAGTGTCTGTGGGATGAGCTACTGTAGTAGAATTTCTAGCAAGGCAGTGGTGCTATAAGCAGTCATGTGTACTGTACAGCCCAACATTTTGTTCATGCTTTTCTTGGTGTCAGGAATTTTGACATGCTAGCATTTATGAAAGGATTCAGAAAGACCTGTTAACCAGACTTGAGTTCTAGAGGTAGGAATTACAGTGCCTTGAGGTTGTGGTTTGAAAAGTCATTTGAACTGTGTTGGTTATGTATTTCTGGCAAGATAGCTATTAAATAAATGATGGGTGATGTGTTTCCTTTTTTGGGTTGCCTGATCTTGGTGGAAAAATGGCTAATGTAATGTAAAATAATAGTTGTAATTGTTTAATATGTAGTGGTAGAGTATTTTAATTCATTTAAGGTACTGTATTGAATGAGAGTCACCTAAATAGAAGATGTTTATTATGCACAAAAAAGCAAATTCATGTATTTTTTTTAAAGTACAGTGGACCCTTGGTTATCAGCCGTAATCTGTTCTAGAAGCTCGGCCTGAAACCGAAATGACCAAAAAGCGAAATAATATTTCCGATAAGAATTAATGTAATTACAATTAATCCATTCCAGACAAAAATATTCACCAAAAAATTATTAACAATTAAATCAGTATTACATACCTTTATTGAAAACTAATGCTAGCTTCTGGAATGCCTGCTACACTTCCTGCATGCCTGCTACATTTCCTGCATGTCTGCTACACTCCCTGCATGCCTGCTACATTTCCTGCATGTCTGCTACACTTCCTGTATGCCAGTTACACTTCCTGCATGCCTGCTACACTCCCTGCATGCCTGTTACACTCCCTGCATGCCTGCTACACTCCCTGCATGCCTGTTACACTCCCTGCATGCCTGCTACACTCCCTGCATGCCTGCTACACTTCACGCTTAACTTCCATGGTGTTTCTCACTTTCTTTACCACAGGAACTTTACTAGGAACTTTCTTTGGAACCATGGTTACTTATTTCACAGTTGCACTGCAAAAAAAACACAAAAAACAATGGAAAACAAGCAAAATGTTTGGATGTATGAGCAGAAGCTTCCTCACACACTGAAAGACAGCCAAACTGACACACAAGTGGCCCCAGCCAGCGGACGAATGTGTCCCAAACGACCGATCACCAAATTAACGGCCGATAACCGGGCGCCGAAAAACCAGCTGATCACCGAGTTAGCAGATAACAGACGCAGCCGATAACCAGGGGTCCACTGTACATACATTAATTTTTTCACAATAGGAGCTAAATGAACTTGATAAATATGTGAATGTATTTCTATATTGTACATGTATGTGCACAACAATCACAGCTTATCCTCCAGAATATTGTACGGTACTGAAAGTCTTGTGTAAACTAGGCTGGGGGAAAGGTAATGTAAGCTTAAGGTGACTAATAATATATTAACTTTTAATTGTACAAACACAGGTGGTTTGGAGGTGGGTGTGAACCCCAAAATCAACAATATGCAGCCAGGATACTTGGCAGCCAAACATGAGCTGCTGTTGGTGTCTGATTCGGGTCTACTCATGAAGGAAGACACACTTACTGACATGGTTGCTCATATGACCCCTGATGTTGGTATTGTCCATCAGATGCCCTTCACATGTGACAGAAAGGGCTGGCCAGCTATACTGGAGAAGGTAGTTCTTTGATGAGTACTGTGTACATGTGTTTACTGGTGTGTTATGTGTTGTGCTGTCTTGTTGGTCTACAGACTTACTGATGCTAAGGTTTTTGTGTATGTTCAGCATTTCTGTGTATGAGGGGAAACTTTTTTTTTTTTTCTTCATGAATTCTTGTTGGATTGTGAGTAATAATGATAAGTTTAGGTTACATATTTCATGATTGTCAACAAGATATTCTTGGCTTATGGGATAGGATCAGTGTTTCAGGGACTGGTTATAGACTATGCTGTACTTCTGCATGTATGGACTGTGAGCTTTCATGGGATGGACTGTGGGTCTTCAATAATATTTCTGTGTTACTACACGTGTTATAAGGTTTGGGAACAAAAACGATATTACATGGAGAGTATTTTGAAGCATATCACAATACTGCTGGCATATGCATTTCTAATATTCCACCTCACATTTTAACTCCTTTCAGTCACTTGAATGTCTTCTGCCCTTAGGTTTCTTGAACATTAGCTTTGAGTGATAAGGTACAAGAGTTCCTACCTCTTTCACTTCATCCTTCTAGGTATTATAACTAATTCTCCATCTTGAAATTTAGCATCAGCTCAGATGCCTCTATCTCTCTTCCCTCTATTTTTAATTATACCATCTTCCACTTTTGTTTCCAACTGACCCTTCCTCTAAAACTTTACCATCCTGACTTTAGTGATGAAGGCAGAGGTGAATGCATTCCACCTTTCTTTTTTTTTCCCTGACCTTCCTAGGCACAAAGGGTCATTTTTTTTTTACCTCAAACTAATACAGATTTCCTGTGCTTTATGCAACAAATGGATTTCAGACCTATGGCACATGAATTATGCTCAAATCAGGCCATCAGCCAGGGAAAGTGCCTAGGCTTAATTCCCCAAAAATTCCATCAGACCCAAATAATAATTATAATAATGATGCTTCAAGACAAGTCTCCTAGCTCATGATCTCTTCTTATATAAAATTTCTGAAGCCACCCCTGCCATCAATACCTAACATAATAAAAATATTCAGTATGTTTTGAGAACTGCACTGATCACATATGGTGAATGTAAATTACTTACACAAAATTACCGTTAGAAATAAAATATATATGTATAGTAATAGCAAATTCAAGGTTCTCTTGCATAAAGCAAAAGAACCTTGCTTCTGCCATGAATTAACTAACTTTTCATATGAACCCACTCTTTCCTTTCCTAAAACCATGTAAATAAAATTCAGATCAGTCTAATATGCTGTGAAAAGTGTTCTGATACTGGAATTTTCCCTCCTGCATTATTTGTTAAATGATCAATAAAAACAAACACAGTATTTATTAATATTCATACTTCAGTTATATCAAAGCTGAGCTGTTACTTTCTTACCCAAGTATTTTTCATGACATACCACTGTTGTTCATGTTCTATATATGTATGTGTGTGAGAGACAGAAAAATTGTATACAGTACAGTATGTATAATACTGTAATGTGTCATCCTATCACATAGAAGCTAAAGAGTGATTCCTATTTCTCCATTTGTCAGGTATACTTCGGGACTGGGCACGCAAGAATGTATCTGTTTCTGGGCCTATTGGACGCTCTTGGCTTTGGTGTCAATTGCTGTACCGGCATGTCCTGTCTGATGCGAAAAAAAGTGCTGGATGAAGCTGGAGGTTAGTGTATAGGCAAATGTATACTATTACAGTGATGTTATTGTTTATTAAGTTTTCTTACTCTTATACTGTACACTACTTATAAAACATATTAAACTGATTTTGGTCACTCACCACTACAATAAAATAATAAAGGAATTTGATCTCTTGGGTCATTTCAAATTTTTCTGTAGGCAGAATAGGGTTGCATATGGATCATTTTCTTGTAGGTTACATATAACTGTTATTGAGTAATGGTTTCAAATATTGTATTATGTGATATTGTAATGTGATATGTTTAGTTGTTAATATGTTTACTTTTTTCATTTACATATTTGAATCTTTTTCTATTAGGAATTAGTGCTTTTGGCATATACTTGGCAGAGGATTACTTCTTTGCCAAGTACATCCAGGACCGTGGCTGGGGTATTCGCATTGCTTCACAACCTGCCTGGCAAAATGCTGGCATCTGCAGAGTCAAGACATTCCTCTCCAGACTAACAAGGTTTGATATGTTTATTCACAGGCTTTTTGGATGTAAGAACTTGCCTAGGCTTCTTTTGGTAGATATAAATTTTTAAATGCAGGTGATGAGCTACATATGTATCAAAGGTTTTTGCAAAGTATATAGTATAGTAGAACCTGTGTTTGAACTTAATTGGTTCTTAGGTGGTGTTTGAACTGCAAAAAGCTCAGTGTCCAAAACAGTATTTCCCAGGCTTTAATTATCAGCCTCACACACTGGATGTTGAACTGGCTCTTCCAAAAGTCTTTGAGAGTTAGGTCAGTGTCAGAGGTGACTTCAAAGTACTTTTGAAACAGGGCTTTCATGTAAAGTTTTTTATAACTGAATTTTAAAAAGGTCACTGCATTAAGACTCCAGAAAAATGTTCAAAGGCTGGGTCAGTTTTTTCTGAACAGAATTATTTGAACTCTGGTTTGTCTGAGATCTGTTATGTTGAAACACAGAGGTTCCACTGTATCTTCCTTCAAATGAAGTTAATGATTTCATGCAGGAGGCAGGGAGGAATATTATCTGGTAGGAGGAGGAAGTGGGCAGAGGTGCTTAAAAGCAGGTGGGAAATTTTAGAATGATTGGTGCATTTATTTATCTGTAAAAGAATGGAATGTACATAAGGATTGCTAGATAGCATAAATGGTTCTTTTGCATAAAGGAATGGGGAATGATAGAATAAATATCATAGGAGAATCGGGTTACTGAACATACTGGATGAGGTTAATTATGTCATTATCTGCAAAGGATGTGCTTTGAGGCTGGCAAAAAGCTCTTGATTCAAGGAGTCAGAGGTGTCCTACCCTTGAGCCTCATTACTGTACCTCCTAATACCTGAATACTGTACGAGTCTGTGGATTTAGCACTTTCCCACTAAAATAGGATGAGCTGGGGAAGGACAGAGTAGAATTTCAGAACAAAGTTAATTGAGGAAGGAAAGGGACTGTATGGATCAAGTGTGTTAAAGCATTTATTGATAAGCATTATTTAGATAAGGAGCTAGTTATTGCATTTATGGGGTTGGGAAAGTTGCATGACTGAGTGGATAGAGCATTTATAATTATTATTCCCCTATGGATCTCGTTCTCCCCTCCTAAATATAATTATTAATTATTATTATTATTTTTATGGAAGTGCTAAATCTATTTAGCATCATAAACAGATATCAGAAGAGCCAAGTGCTGTAACTGGTACTATAACAATGACCACAAGGACAACAGGAGAGTTGTATTTGGTGTAATACAGGATTCCAGTTGCAGAAAAAAAAATCTGTATTAAAAGTCAAAAATATGATTTCAGTGTATTGTTTAAACATCTTAAATCTTCATTGTCAAACATTAAAGTACTGCATTGCCCCAGTATGCTTCTTTCTGCACATGTTCATTACATTTAATACAGTACATCATGTATGCATTAAGAATTGTAAGCTCGTGTATTTTCTAACATATAGTATTGCTTATAATATATATCATACACTATAATGCAGTAAAATGATTAGCTTATTATGTAGTGCATTATTTTACTTTTACATACAGCCTCTCCTCACTTGGCGACATACTTGTTTACCGACGCCTTGAACTTACGACAGGCTCTCTCACCAGTATTCATACCTAAATAATGTTTATTAGAGCTCCTCTATTCTTTTTATTTCAGTATACAGTACACTACTGTATAAACATTTAAAAATATGCCAGAAATGTTATAAATGGTGCATGGTGATATTGAAACAATATCAGAGATGGTTGGCACAAACTTACTACCATTATAGTATGCTCCTCACTTAACGACGAATTCGTTTAATCCTTACAGGGTCAGTGTTATACTAGTACAGCTTGCACGCCAGGGTTGGTGCCATACTAGTACACGTAAATTCTAGCGCTTTCAAATCTAGCGAGAGAAAGCTGGTAGGCCTACATATGAGAGAATGGGTCTGCGTGGTCAGTGTGCACAGTATAAAAAAAATCCTGCAGCACACAGTGCATAATGAGAAAAAAAAAAAAAACTCCGGCCAAGTTTTCGGTTTAAAACAGCTACTTTGCAGTGTATTTTCATGGTATTTATGGTTTTATTCTCATTTTCTTGGTCACATTTTATAGAATGGAAGACACATTACAGAAATTGAGATGATTTTGATTGGTTTCACAATGAAAAGTACCTTGAAATTGAGCTTAGAGTAGCAGAAATGTTCGATTTTTGCCAGTGTTCAAACGTAAACAAATGCCACGCGTCCAATACACGTCAACTGGTGAGTCTGATATTCTTTCACAAGTGCGCTGATATACCATTTTTACACTAATACAGTAATCTGCATAACAGTAAATCTTCTATTTTTGGGATAACAAAAGTTCAAAGTGGAAAGCAAAAGAAATTTAAGAGGGGCATGGAGACGTGACTAACGAACAGAGAAAATGTTATTTTAGTGCCAGGAATGTCTGTCTTGTTTATTCTGGACCCTATTTTGAAATTTGTGTGAAATTGGCAAAATTGCCAATTTCTGACCACTTTATTGGATAGTTGAAATCAGTAATTGGCTGGTTTCTTGTACTCATTCGATAGAATAAATGGAGTTCTAACGAAATAGCTATGATTTTTGTCAACTGGTACATTGAGTTTGGCCGAAAATTGGGCTCAAAGTGGGCAAAATCGCCGATGCATAAACATCGTCAAGACCGCTAACTTCACGAGAGCACAATTCTGTAAGTTTTCCATCAAATTTCATACTTTTGGTGTCATTATGATTAGGAAAAGATTCTCTATCATCTCATAAGAAAATAATTTATATTTTTTTGGAAAAAAATTTTCGACCCTGAGAACAAGTTTAGGAGATGGCCTCTCGAACCTGAAAGGGTTAATGACGTGGTCTCAGGGACAGAACTCTGTCATTAAGTGAGGAGAGGCTGTGTTTTATTCATGGGGATGCTAAACCTGTTGGGGTCATAAAGTACCTTGGGAATAAGAGGCAATCAGATCTGATCCAAGGAAAGGGAGGACGGCTCCAATTCCTTGGACCAAGAACCCTTTATTATCAAGGCTCCTCCTTGAAGGGGATTTTAACAGTATAAATTTTTCAGATGGTGTAAATTACGCATAGCAATGGTACCTCACACAATATTATTGGAACCATTTAGTGAGTGTATGGTACTAGGGCTGGTGGTATCATGGGCTGCCACCGTCTTGCTGCGGGCTGACTACCTCACATTCTTTCTGTTTCACACACTTACATGGTCCCTTGCTGATTGGATCATGCTCAACATTGTGCAGGTAACAGTTTAACTCATGGTTGTTGGAGTAAGGGTGTCATTATCATACGTTACCAGTAGAAGCACTAAATCTCTATAGAGTAATTACAGTACATGCATAGTACAAACTGATATAATGATTACTATATATAGTAATTATTATAATTATTGTAAACTGTATCAAAATAATGTTACATTATATTACAAGGTTGTAATAATGAGAGTAATATTTTGAAGAGAAGATTTTCGAAGTCTTGTTTGAAAAAGCAAATGTTTGTAAAGATTTTATTACCATTTAGTGAGGGGCAGAACGAAGGGGAGGTGGGGGTTGGGTGGCTTAAGCCCCCCAAATAAAAATAGTAATAATTACACTGCTTTAAAATAGGTCTCCTAGCCTTCCCCTTCCAACCAGATAGCCACCCCTAAGTGCACACCCCCACCAGTACAGGAATTATGGCACTGCCCCCTGCATACAGCCATGCATGTTAAAAATAGTGTAAGGAAGAAATACGTAGTTTAAGCCAGCCTGCCATAGTGTTTGAAGAAAGAAATTTGCAGTGATGTTATAAAAGAGCTAGCACCAGAATCGTGCAGTTTCCTGAAATTATTTGAAGCTTTATTAGTAAATGTCATGCATATTTTCCAGTACTAATCTGTAAGCAGTGTTTTTGAAGCAAAGTTATGTATCATGTATGAGCTGTATAGCCCTTGTGGCTTAGCACTTCTTTTTGATTATAATAATAATATGTATCATGTGTTACTATGCTGTATGTCTATATATCAGTAAATGTTTAAATCTAGTAGATTTTGGATTATCAGCATATATCCTTTGTTAACATAATTCCTGTAACAGGACTAACTTTTTTTTTAATATTTTAGTCAGTGTAACTTTTTTTTTTTTTTTTCCTTTTTTATCAAGGCAGGGTGACCCAAAAAGAAAATACTTTCCTCATCATTCAACACTTTCACCTCACTCACACATAATCACTGTCTTTGCAGAGGCACTCAGATATGACATTTTAGAAGTCCCTCCAAACTGTCAATATCCCAAACCCCTCCTTTAAAGTGCAGGCATTGTACTTCCCATTTCCAGGACTCAAGTCCGGCTAACCGGTTTCTCTAAATCCCTTCACTATATATTACCCTGCTCACACTCCAACAGCTCGTCAGGTCCCAAAAAACAATCATCTCCATTCACTCCTATCTAACACGCTCACACATGCTTGCTGGAAGTCCAAGCCCCTCGCCCACAAAACCTTCTTTACCCCCTCCCAACCTTTTCGAGGATGACCCCTACCCCTCCTTCCTTTCCCTACAGATTTATATGCTCTCCAAGTCATTCTACTTTAATCCATTCTCTCTAAATGAGCAAACCACCTCAACCCCTCTTCAGCCTTCTGACTAATACTTTTAGTAACTCCACACCTCCTAATTTCCAGACTCCGAATTCTCTGCATAATATTTACACCACACATTTCCCTTAGACAGGACATCACTGCCTCCAGCCACCTCCTCGCTGCAGCATTCACAACCCAAGCTTCACACCCATATAAGTGTGTTGGTACCACTGTACTTTCATACATTCCCTTCTTTGCCTCCATAAATAACGTTTTTTTGTCTCCACAGATACCTCAACGCACCGCTCACCTTTTTCCCTTCATCAATTCTATGGTTAACCTAATCCTTCATAAACCCATCTATTAACAAGTCAGTTCCCAAATATCTGAAAACATTCACTTCTTCCATACTCTCTCCAGTTTTTCTTTATCTAAATCGTTTGATACCCTCATCACCTTACTCTTATCTATGTTCACTTTTAACATTCTACCTTTACACACCCTCCGAAACTCGTCCACTAACCTTTGCAACTTTTCTTTAGAAGCTCCCATAAGCACAGTATCATCAGCAAAGTAACTGTGTCAACTCCCATTTTGTACTAGATTCCCCATAATTCAACCCCACCTGTCTCCCCAACACCCTAGCAGTTACTTATTTTATAACCCCATCTATAAATACATGGTGACATTACACATTCCTGTCCAAGACCTACTTTTACCGAGAAGTAATCTCTCTCCTACATTTTCCTTTTATTGGTTATAAAAAGTTTATTTGTTTACAGAATGGGCCTCCTCCCTTTAGCAAGTTTGAGTTTGTGATCAGCTGGTTATTCCGAGAAGTAAGTGCACTCTTCATCTTCCTCCACGCTATGTGGAACCCGGTAATCAGCTGGCGTACTGGGTCCTTCAAGTTACGTTGGTGGGGTGTGGCAGAACCTGTCAGTAGCAGGGTTACTGTGATGTAAATGAGTTTGGCAAAATTGTAATGAATGAATAGCTGTGTGGTATGTAGCAGTCATATTTCATATGACCTCAGAAATGAACTGTTTTCAGCTTCTCTATATGTGATGTGTATGGAAGCTTTAACTAAACCAAGAGCAGACCCAAGATGGGAAACTGTCACGTATGGTCTCTTACTGTCATCTCCTTCACTCTTGAGATGGATAAAGGAATCTACAATAACATCTGTATTGTAAGCTTCAACAAAGTTCATAATGAATCTTAGCACAATACTTTAGATTGTATTAGGGATGCATAAAATGTCCCAAGGTGTTGCCTGATTTTACCAGGTATGTATAGTTGCCATTTCCAGGCACTGGAGGCACATATTTCATGTTGGTCCATATTGTGACAATAGAGCTAATATGCTTCACTTTCATGTGTGCTGATATTTGGCAGTGATGTAAAGTTAAAATGCATTTGCCATAGTGAAAGAAGGTACCAAGGTGAGATTTAAAAAAAAAACTGGTGCATTAGGAAAATTATCTTCATCTTGCCAGTATTATTATAGTAGGTTATGGATAAATAATAACCTTGTGATCCATCAAAGTTGATACACTTGCACCAGCCAAGTGTTATTTTTCAACATACTGGTAAGCATTTTTGTTTTACTGTATTTCAAGGTGGTACACAGTGGATGGGCATTATATGAGAGAGTCACCCTCATCAAGTCTTAATTTCTTGAAGTTGAGGAAAATATTTGACCCTTTGATAATATAGTAGTAGGTTTATGTTTAGTTTCAAGAGTACACAATGTGTTAGTTGACTAAATTTAAGTACAGCACAGTTTAATATGATGGAAAGAGCATTTGTTGAGCTGTGTATCAAATATGGTATCTAGAAAAGTACTTCACCTTGGTACACTAATTGTGATAATAGGCAAGTGATATTTGTATAGTACATGAACTGAGGGAGCTGCTATACATAACTTACAATTGCACTTATTGGAAGTTAACTTCCTTCACAAAGTAAAAAGCTAAAAGTACTTTTGTTGCAAAATTTGGGACTTGTAATCTTTCTTCAAAATTTATTATATTACAACACAGTATACATATAGTACTTATCATATTCATAAAAATGTGTAAATTCATAAGGGGCATTGTTTTCACAAAAAAATCTGAAACCACATGGATCATACAATGTACTATACAGTACAGAGCTGTATGACCTATACAGGTTTACCACATATTTTTGAATGATATACTGTACAGTATTTTGCATCACAGGTTAAAATTTTAATATTGTGCATAGTTTTCAAATAATTTTCGACAAAAAATACAGTACGTCATCAGACATGACATTTTGAAACCAAAGTATAAAATACAAATAAAGCAGTGTCAAACCAGATAAAAGATGTTTCACTACATATTCCATCCCTTGTATACAGGCTGTCATAAGTGACCATGATATTGTTTAATTTCAGGATTCAGTCAACAGCTAAATTTGTCATTAGCTAGTTTACCTGTGAAACAATGTACTTTAGTTTGAACAGACTACCAATGTAATACATTATGTGCAATGGGTAAAATCAGTTTTAGCCTACTGGTAACCAGACCTGGTGTGTAAGGGATATTTTCTAATCAGTGATTTATAGTTTATTTGTACAGTTTTTGTCAAAAAAAGAATGTTTGACAAAGTTGCACAAGAATTGGAAAAAAAAATTTGTCTATATGTAAAGTAAATGTGAGTAATAGGTCAAATGTACGTGTGTGAGCGAGAGGTCAATTCTCAGATCATGGCCCTGCCTCTTGCTACTTACCAGATTCACTCCCTCTTAGCCTTGTGGGCCCTATGGTGCCTGTTCTTACAACTGCATGGAGCCTGCCTCCACCATTACGTATTATAATCAAAACTGTGCCCATTTACCTTATGAATTCCCCTGAGTATTTTGTATGCTTTTACCATATTACCCTCTGGTTCTTCTGCCCCTCAATTTTAAGTCCTCATAGCTCTTGCCACCTAGCTCAGGAAAAAGCTTTGTTGCACTTCTGCAGTTTCTTTACATGCTTTGACAGGTGTGGGTTCCATACTGGGGCTGCATGCTCCAAGATGGGCCTAATAAAATGAAATGAAGCACTAAACCCAAAAGGGTCATACAGCCCTAAAGGTAGGAATATACAAAATGAGAAAAGTGCAAAAGTGAATACGAAGTGAATGGCAGGAATATGCAAGGGTAGGGGAGTGTGCAAGAGGAAAATTAAAATCACAGTTGGCATAAGTTAGTTCCTGTTACAAAGTCACTATGTGAGAGATGGAATTTTCAGTGAGGAGGATAGTTAACTGTATTGGGGCAATGGAGACATCAGAAGCAATTTCTTCAGGCCTGCTGAGAGACACGACAGTCGATTAAGATATGGTGAACTGACGATGCATCCTAGCGGTTCTCACAAAGAGGTATCGGATGCTTTTCCATGAGGTAGTAATAAGAACTGCATCACAAATGTGCAGTCAGGAGAGAGCAGTGGTGGTAAGATGGCCAGAAACCCAAACATGGTTTTGACAAAGTAATTTATTGTGGACTAACCCACACCACCATTTTTGAAGTTGTCGAGAGATAATTGAAAAATAGTCCAAGAAAGGAACACCCTTTATGAAATTGGGAGATCATAAACAGTAGGGGGTGTGTGGACCAGGTGTTTACAGTGAAACATATAAGTGAACAGTATTTAGATAAGGCTAAAGAGGTCTTTGTGGCATTTATGGATTTGGAAAAGGCGTATGACAGGGTGGATAGGGGGGCAATGTGGCAGATGTTGCAGGTGTATGGTGTAGGAGGTAGGTTACTGAAAGCAGTGAAGAGTTTTTACGAGGATAGTGAGGCTCAAGTTAGAGTATGTAGGAAAGAGGGAAATTATTTCCCAGTAAAAGTAGGCCTTAGACACGGATGTGTGATGTCACCATGGTTGTTTAATATATTTATAGATGGGGTTGTAAGATAAATAAATGCGAGGGTCTTGGCAAAAGGCGTGGAGTTAAAAGATAAAGAATCACACAAAGTGGGAGTTGTCACAGTTGCTCTTTGCTGATGACACTGTGCTCTTGGGAGATTCTGAAGACAAGTTGCAGAGATTGGTGGATGAATTTGGTAAGGTGTGCAAAAGAAGAAAATTAAAAGTGAATACAGGAAAGAGTAAGGTTATGAGGATAAAAAGATTAGGTGATGAAAGATTGGATATCAGATTGGAGGGAGAGAGTATGGAGGAGGTGAATGTATTAGATATTTGGGAGTGGACGTGTCAGCGGATGGGTCTATGAAAGATGAAGTGAATCATAGAATTGATGAGGGGAAAAAAGTGAGTGGTGCACTTAGGAGTCTGTGGAGACAGAACTTTGTTCTTGAAGGCAAAGAGGGGAATGTATGAGAGTATAGTTTTACCAACGCTCTTATATGGGTGTGAAGCATGGGTGATGAATGTTGCAGCGAGGAGAAGGCTGGAGGCAGTGGAGATGTAATGTCTGAGGGCAATGTGTGGTGTGAATATAATGCAGAGAATTTGTAGTTTGGAAGTTAGGAGGAGGTGCGGGATTACCAAAACTGTTGTCCAGAGCGCTGAGGAAGGGTTGTTGAGGTGGTTCGGACATGTAGAGAGAATGGAGCGAAACAGAGTGACTTCAAGAGTGTATCAGTCTGTAGTGGAAGGAAGGCGGGGTAGGGGTTGGCCTAGGAAAGGTTGGAGGGAGGGGGTAAAGGAGGTTTTGTGTGCAAGGGGCTTGGACTTCCAGCAGGCATGCGTGAGCGTGTTTGATAGGAGTGAATAGAGACAAATGGTTTTTAATACTTGACGTGCTGTTGGAGTGTGAGCAAAGTAACATTTATGAAGGGGTTCAGGGAAACCGGCAGGCCGGACTTGAGTCCTGGAGATGGGAAGTACAGTGCCTGCACTCTGAAGGAGGGGTGTTAATGTTGCAGTTTAAAAACTGTAGTGTAAAGCACCCTTCTGGCAAGACAGTGATGGAGTGAATGATGGTGAAAGTTTTTCTTTTTCGGGCCACCCTGCCTTGGTGGGAATCGGCCAGTGTGATAATAATAAAAAAAAAAAATAAACAGTAGACCAATCAGCAGGGTCTGCCTTTTTGTTACCTTGATCATCATGTCCAGGGACCCAGCAAAAAAACATCGTCTTTGGGTTTGCTAGGAATGTGGAATAACCAAAGCTGTATATGTACTTAGGGCAGTGGGATGAGGGTAACCAAATTTCTGGATAGCTTGTAGTGCACTGTAGGAGTCTCAAATTACTACAAATGATGAGATGGATATCCATGCAGTGTATGTGATGGCTAGGGGAATTGTACACAACTCAGCTGTGAAAATACTGGCAGAGTCCTGCAAATAACTTTGGATGATTTTGTCAGGAACAACTGCTGCATATCCAACACCATCAGAGTATTTAGAACCATCATTGTACACCACAATAGCACGAGAATGAAAATGGCGATGATCAAAAGAGAGGAAATGTGAAGTTACGGTAGGTAACTGAGCTTTTGCACTTGGAAGTGGGGAAGAGCAAACATGAATCATCAGGACTTCCCAAGGAAAGAGAAAAGTAGAATGCAGGAGGTACACACAGAGGAGGTAAATTAAGAGCACCCAATAGAGAAAATACGGAGAGGAAAGGGTTTTAAGTAGAGGCACCAATTTAACAAAGAGTCTCTAATAACATTCATTACCATTCTATATATAGGAGGATAGTGGATTATTATTATAATCAAACAGAAGTGCTAAGCCACAAGGGCTATACAGCGCTGCAGGGCAGGAAGGAAGTGAGGGCATCAGGTGGCAAAAGGGAGAGGGATGAGTAATAGGTTACGGATAACAGCGGGGCAGTGGATGGTGAAAGGGTAAAGGGCAGCAAGAGACTGAGCTAGAAAGGCTGAGGGGAGTGCAAAAGGTATCATCATCAGAGTTTGTGGAGTAAATCAGTCGTCAAGAAGTCAATGAGAGTCAGGATTAAAGGAGGGTCCATCAGCAAGAAGGGAAGGTAAAGAGTAGTAGAATGAAGACGACGTTGGAGGTAAATTCTGCGTGCACGTTGATAGAGAGGGCAGTCTAACAGAATGTGGCTAATCGATACTGGAACTTGACACTGCTCACAGAGAGGAACAGGGTGCCTCTCCATGAGATACCCATGAGTAAGACGAGTGTGGCCAATGCGAAGGCGGGAGAGAGTGGTCTCCCAACCTCGGCACTGATGACAAGAAGACGGCCAGTAACCTATGCTCGGTTTAATAGAATGAAGTTTGTTACCGAGCAGAGTTGACCAACGTTGTTGCCAACGGGTGTGAAGGTGGGTAGCTATTGTAGCAAAATAGTCCAGAAATGGAACACCTCTATAGGAAATTGGTAGGTCATGTATGCTGACCGCCTGTTCATTGCCCTGTACGTCGACATGACCAGGGACCCAACAAAAAACATCTTTATGCTTGGTAGAGATACGGCGTAGCCAAAGTTGGATACGGAGAACTAGCGGGCGAGATGTATCAAATTTTCGTATAGCCTGTAGAGCACTAAGGGAGTCTGAGACTACCACAAATGATGACACAGGCATAGATGTGATACGAATAAGTGCTGTAAGAATGGCATACAATTCAGCAGTAAAAATGCTAGCCGAAGATAGTAAATGCCCCCGCACGACACTGTCCAGAAACACTGCTGCGAATCCGACGCCATCTGAAGACTTAGAGCCATCTGTGTACACAGCGATGGCATGAGAATGAGAGTGGAAGTGATCAAGAAAAAGAGAGCGGGAAGCCACTGTAGGCAGTTGGGCTTTTGAGCAAGGGAGTGAGAAGGAACAGACCCAAACAGCTGGAACTTCCCAGGGGGGTAGGGAAAAGTGAGATGCTACATGAACATATAAAGGTGGTAACTGAAGGGAAGACAAGAGCGAATGTAAGCAAAAAGGGACGGAGCAAACAGGGGCGGCGAACAAATAAAGAATGTCTACTAATATCGGTGACCATTCTATAAATGGAAGGATTGTGGAAATTGTGAGAGCGTACATAGCAGCGAAGGCAATGGGCATCACGGCGATCAGACAAGGATGGAACATTCGCTTCTGCATAGAGGCTCTCAACAGGGGAAGAGCGAAAAGCACCAAGGCATAAATGTAATCCTTGGTGATGGATGGGGTTAAGGCTAGAGTAGCAGGAGAGGCCGATGAATAAATCTGGTCACCATAATCGAGTTTCGATAAAACGAGGGCTGAATGTAGGCGAAGCAGAGTTCGACGATCAGCTCCCCAGGAAAGATGAGCAAGGATTTTAAGAAGGTTTAGCCGGCTGTGACAAGTTGCCTTCAGAGAGGTAATGTGAGGTTTCCAGGATAACCTACGGTCAAAGAGAAGGCCTAGAA